GCTTTTCTGTTTTTTGGCAAGCCTTGGGCCCTGTCCTCAGGCGCCGTCACGGCAGCCCGAGTCTACTCCCCCAGCAGAGGAGAGCTGGCAGGAACCGCTACCATCCGGGGACCCACCGTGGCCCAGCCAGGAGCTGTGTGCCCTCTGACTCCGGGCCGAGAGAGCCCCAGGCGCAACCTGCTTTTCCCTTCACCGTGACCCTGTCCCACTGTCCCTTGATGACTGACCGCCCGGTCCACACCACCCTCTAGACCACAGTTGTGGCGCTTCTGCTAACAGTGACCTTTTCAGCTCTTAGAAGGCAGCAAGGAAATTTTCAAATGCTGGAGCACCTGGAATGGATAGGATATTGGGTCCAAAGTCTCGAAAACAAACCGGAAAGCCCCAGTGAGCTCCTCCGTCCCTTCCAACCTGAGCCAGGGCCAGGGAGAGCACGAAGGGCACCTCAGCTGGCTCTGCCTGCCCACTTCGCCCACTGCACTCAAGCTTTGGTGGTGAGGCGGCGGCCAGAGCAGGCACCCAGAGTCTAATTTTAGAAAATCTCTTCTCCCCCGTGAATTTTTTTGTTTTGGTTGATTTTTATGGTTTTTCCTTTACCTATGAGAAAATACAATTACAACTACTCCTGGTAATGATTTAGTAGTTCCTTTTCATTTCAGTTTTTGTAAATTAGGAGATAATTCTAAGAGTTACTAAGGATGATTTATTTAAGAGAACTACGTCAAATAGCGAATGAGTTATGGGTAACATTAGCTGAAAATAACCTTTCCCGTGGGAAAGGTTTCTTGAAGGCATGGATGCAAATATAAAATATTAAAAAAATCTAAATAAAGCTTATTTTAAAATATGATCGAATTCTATGTTATTTGATTGCTTCTATTTTGCTCCGGAGTGGGGGGAGGCTGTGCCCCTCTGGGAGTCGCCCAGAATGACCTGCTCCTTGGAATTCCAGGGCGGGGTCTTCAGGGGGTGACAGGAGCGGCCGAGGAAAGCTGGCAGATTCTGGCCTGTGGAGAGGCCATGCCAGGGTGGCCACCCGGAAACGTCTTGCCACTGTCGCCCTGCCTGGAATTTGGGGGCGCCTCGGCCTCTGGGCCACCCTACCTTCTGGGGCCCAGGGGCTGTCCGCTTTCTTCTGCTCCCTCCTCGGCACCCCTTCGAAGGCCTGGGGGGGCTGTGGCTTTGGGGCACGTTACTTTCTGCAAGCCTCCACCTTGTCCCCAGTCCTCACCCTCCCTGGGGACTCAGAGCTCAGGAGACGTGAGGGAGTCACAGGGATTACAGGGCTTCCTCGACTGAAGCCGTTGTGGGCTTTCCTGAGCCCTGAGAGGCCCTCCAGATGCAAAACTCCACTGTGTGTCCCAGGAAGAGGTGGCCAGGTCACCCAGTCCTGACTGGCCAGGGTCTCCACCTTCCAGCTGACAGTTGCATTCTCTGCAGCAGTAAGACTGAGGACAGCAGGCTTTAACTCTCCTGCCATCACTGCTGGGAGGAGGGCAGCTCTGGCAGTCAGATGAGGCCAAGGAGGTGTGAGACAGGATGCAGATTAGCAAGGACACTGGAGACACCGAGGGCTGAGCAGGTCAGGAACTCCTGCCTGGGGTTCTCAGGGCCCTGCCAGGGGTACAACACCGGTATAGGCTGGGCTCCTGGAATCTACGCCACGGCCCGGACTCGGCTGATTTGAGAGGGGCAGGCGTGTTCACACACACACACTGCATCCTGCACTTGCCCTGCTGAGTGCAGCCCTGCACGTTGCAAAGTGTGCGACCCAGGGCCCCCTTCCCACGGCAGCCTGGAGAATGGCACCTGTTGGAGCGCGGCAGTGCCCAGCCTGTGCGGCTGAAACACTTGCCCTGAATGCACTGGGCAGCCCTACTCCGGGTTTTGACTACTGGGTGGCACTTGAAGTTGAAAAAAATCACAGCAAGTTCTTTTTGTTTTTGTTTTTGTTTTCAGCAAAGGAAGTGCTGAGGGCTGTACTCAGTGGCCCTTCTGCACCCTCATCCGTGCTGCTAGGCCCCAGTATGATCAGTCATAACCACGTAATCATATCTAACAGCACTAAGCATTTGCCGTAGACCAGGCTCCCTGCTGCGCACTTCTTATGTATTAACTCAGTTCAGCACCCCCACCCCAACAACCTGTACTCCTGATGTGAAACTGAGGCTTAAGTCAGTTATCGGGGGTCACAGAGGCCTGAGCTGGAGACCGGGTGAGTCTGGCTGCTCCACCATCTGGGCCAGGAGCCCTGGGACCAAGCAGCCAGGCCCGCCCCCTCCACCACGAGCCTGCGGCCAGGAGCTGCCCTGCACCAGGTTGCAGGGTGGGGCCACTGCCCACTGCCATGGGCACCCCTGCCTGGGCTCAAGTCTGGGTGCAGGGCCCCTCTCAGACTTTCTCTCCACAAGACAGACCCGCAGGCACCCCCTCCCTGTCCACCTGCTCTAAGAAAATGGCCCTTCAGCTTTTGCAGCTTAGACTTATCAGAGGGGCCAATCGCACTGGTTCCCTACCTCCTGTTGTCAGTGGGGGAAAAAAATCTGGTGATGATGAAGAATAAATAGGGAACTCCTGTTAGTGTGCCTTAAACAGGTTCATGACTTGGTGTTCTAAAATAATACCCTATAAATATGAAAATAATTTAGAAGCTTATACAGTAGAAGTTATTTAAATAAAGCCATGGCACATCAGCAGTGAGGTGTTAATCTACAGGCAATAGTATCAGCCAGGCTTGGTGGTGTACACCTGTAATGCCAGCATTCCTGGAGGCTGAGGCAGGAGAGTTGAAAGTTTGAGCCCAGCCTGGGTGACTGAGAAGACCCTGCCTAAATAATAATATTAATAATTAATAATGATAATAACAGTCACTTTAAAGGGCTGGGGATGTAGCTCCGTGAAAAGGCCCTGGGTTCAATCCCTTGTACCACTGAAGAAGAAGTACCAGTCTGTGTTGGTACAACGATTCCATCCTAGGCCACACTGGCAGGATGCCCTAAAGTCCATTCCTGGGAAATACACAAGCACCCAGCTCAGCACTCTCTCCCCTGGGCTGGGCACACTACTACCCACAGCACCCTTTAGCCTGACAGAATGACCCCAAAAGGGTTGTTGGGCTTGAAGGAGCAGCGATAGTCGCAGCCGGATGTCTTGACCTATGTACGCTTCCTGAAAATGGCAGGACTTCCGCGGCCGGCAGGTGCCCAGGGAGCCCTGCCACATCAGCAGGCTTGTTCGCCTCTTTGAGTTTCGGGTTTTGGAAATCCCAGGGTGCTTTCCTAATACATCACCAGGAAGCAGTCGTCCACTGCACCACGAATACATGAGAACATAAATGCACGCCGTGCTCCCAGAACCCTGCAAGGGAGGGTCTGTCCTTGGGAAGTCAGCTGCACCCCCTGCAGCACACCCTCCCAGCTCCCAGTAGGTTTCAGGCCAGACCCACCACATAATCACTCCGGGCCCTGATCCTGTATCTGATTTCACGCAAACTGTTTAACCCATAAGCCTCAGTGTCCTAATCTGTAAAGTGGGCGTAATACTCGCTCCTCTGCACAGGCTCAGACAGGAACCGTGAATGCATTTTGGAGACCAGAAAGGGCTGGCTCGAAGATGTATGCTCACATGATTTGTAACAGGTGGGTTTAAAGTCAGTGGGCAGTCAAACCACAAAAGGCGGGAAGCAACTTGCTACGTCTGCCCCGAAGTAACTCAGACTTGTCCCTAGAGGAGATCAGGTGTTGAGTTATGTGAGCCTGGACCCCTCCAGTCCT